TAAATTCCATTGTCTCTCAAACCAGACAATAATTGATTTAAGGCTTTATGAGTAATACTATTCTGAAGAGCCCAATTTCTCAAGAAATCATTTAAATTGTAATGATTAGTTCCATCATCTGATAAATCGTCATCACTGTTGCCCGACAGGTGATAATTCGAACTTAATGTGGAACGATGACTCGTAGCAGTTGAAGATCTTTTAGGATATTGGAGAACCGGAAAAGTTGAAATGTGATTTATGTCGATCAGAGAAGAACCTTCATCATCTTGTGGAATATCAACAATGTCTTCAACATTCGTACAAAATGGTGCATTTTCTAGACGCCCGAATGCAATTTCGGTTCAGCGTATCTGTTGTCTCCGTGACAAATTGCAGGACTATTTACGCTCATTTGATGAATGCATTTTTAAGACAAACTAAAAAAAGTCGAATAATAACATATTATAAAAATAGGCAAGTTCAAATAATCTAGAGAATCAGAGTAAAGAAAATTAAAAGTTCATTCTGACCCATTAAATTTTCCAAATTCTACCAAAATTTAAGAATCGTTAGCAACCTTAATTAGAAATAAGTACTTACTAACGAGTAGCTAGTAGGAAAACACGATATCGCCGATTCACAGTGTCACGTAATCAATTACAGTATTCAAATAAAATTACATATGATAACTATTCAAAGAATATAAATGGTATGAACTCACCAAGAGCAACAGTATCTTTAAATACTGAAGGCTGTAGTATAAGCCTTGGACTCAGAAATAAAAATTGAGAGAAAGAAGAAAGTAGAATTTCTTTAAGATGTATAATAAAAACTAATTCTTCTAATCACTCAGGTAAAAGAGTAAAAAACGAGTATTGTACGAACTATGATGCCACTACAGAACCGACCATTCTAGTAACATTGTGAATACCAAAAATGTTAATGCTAATTATAAAATACTAATAACCAAAAATGTCATCGTAATGTATTGATATCGTCACCAACATTGAGTTACTTTTTTTCAGTACATATATTAATACAACAATTATTAAGAATAATATATTTAAAGATAATAATTATTATCATGAATAGTTTTTTAAAACGGAAAAAAAGCATAAAAATAATATTATCACATCATTCTGCATTTGCTAGTACGAGTTTATTGGTATTACATTGAAGCACAAAATACTATCTTTGTCAGGTAAGGGAAGTACATTGACCTGAGGAGTAGAAGACTGGATGTATTTGTTAGTTGCATTTATTGCCGTAATAAATGCTTGGTTGCCAGGTAAAATGTTGACAATTGAATTTGGAATCATGATACCGTTTGTTTCTCATGATTCAACCATGCCTTCTCTTAAGTTTTGATGATTGGATGAATTAATTTTTATGACCGTTTCCGTTCATGGTCCTAAGTTAACGACATTTTTAGGTTATGGAGTATTTGTACGAAGTGGAATTTTGAATTGTAATAAATTTATTGATAGTTGGGATTGTCCAAAGTCAATTTTTACATTTAGAGATTTGAAAAAGTTTGAGCCTAGTAACCCGTCAAAAGGTACATTTGTTTTATCATCGAGAAGTTGAGCTTCGAGAATAATATCTTGATTATAATTTTTAGAGGGATTTCAACTTCTCCGAGAGTATTTAAAGGAGCGTTAGGAGTTTTGCCATTAAGAGTTATACATTTATTATCAGTAAGAATTGGTGAAGTTAGACTTTGCTTTTTGATTAGGGATATTGATGCGCCTGTGTCAACTAATAGTTTTAGTAATTTATTAGGAGTCGTTGATATAGGAGATTTAAATAGCACATATGATAAATCATTTGTACTGAAATTATAAATGTTTGATTGACTGCAATTCGCGGGTAAATGATTTATTTGATCACTTGAGTTAGATTGATTTGGATTTGATTCAGTGTTGCATACATAAGTAGCAGCGTTAGATTTATTGTTATTCGGTAAATTCCGATTTGATGAGTTAGAGTTGGACGATTGAAATGATGGTTGATTTTGATTACGATTTTGTTGGTAGGAATTATTTCCTGAGTTAAAATTTTGGTTTTCATTTCTTTTTTTATTATTATTATATTCGTGTCTACGACATTCTTTGATTGTTTGACCTTCGCGTGTACAATAGCGACAAAATTTACGTTGTTGAGTTAAATGATTTATTGAACGAGAATTGTTATTGCTTTTGTTATGATTAAATTGTTTTGTTTGTCACGACATTCATATGTTAAATGATTTGATCGTCCGCATCATTTATCTTGATAATCATATTTTAATCTGAGTGCTTTTTTTTCTCATAGACCAGCTGTTAAAGCTTCATTGATTGTTTTAAATTCACGATAACGTAACATCTGGGAAATTCTTGGATGACAATGATAAATAAATCTATTAATTGTCATATCTATAATCATAGACACACGACTTGCTAATAAGTTTTCATTTTTAGTAGTATCAGAAACGTGAATAGAAGCGAGAGTACGCGAACACAGATCCTCTATGCGTTGGAAAAATTGTGATAAATTTTCTTTTTTCTGTTTCGAAACGATCACCATCAAAAGTGTCTTGGGTATTTGGCATGTTTGTAAATATAGATAGAAAAATTAGGGATGATTTTTGCAAAAGATTATTAAATTGAACAAAGCTAGACTTACAGTGTCCTCTGCCTATGGAACTCATGACCTTGACGTGGTGGCAGAGCTTGTGTACCCCAATGACCCTGGGAGCTATGCCGGCGGTAGCGTAGCTACCGGTAGGGCCTCCCTAGCCAGACAGGTCTCAGGTGAGGGGTCAGACAAAGAAGGGTTCCAACCCTCACAAGTGGGTGCCTAGACCACTAGTGAGGTAATTTCTTCTAGGCTAGGGGAGGAAAAACCCCGAATATAAAAGCAACTTACAAGGATGGAATGAGTTTATCAAACTTAAAGGATAGTACGGTGCAGAGGAGGGATACCTCAGTACCGGTCGCGGGTAAGGGCGGTCACGCAGGCCCCCCCCGATCGTCATCCAGCGACTGCGGAACCCGGACGGTGAGTAACCAGGCCTCCGGGGGATCGGATACTACTGGAAGAGTAGAAAACAGGAGTATGAGTGAGGGCGAAGCAAAATGGCTCTGCGCCCAACAAGATGTGACTCCAGACCGTATGGACCACGCCAAAGGAAGAGGAAAGGCGAAGGAAGAGAACAAGCGGTGGCGGGAGAGGTCACTCAGTTTAGACTCGTCCCACATTGAAATTCAGGTGGTGGATATCGACGCTGTAGAGGAGGTGAGAGTGCAGAGGAAAGAAGAGTACCGCACAAAACTTGCCAACGACGAGGAAAGGGCTCTAGCTGGTCTCAAAAATAAAATCGCCATCATGACCAAAACGTGCAAGGAGACGCCGGGAGTTCCAAAAGCGCTAGAAGAGGCTCTTAGGGAGGCCAGGTCGTTCTTTAGACAGATGATTAGTTGTAGACTGGCCCTAAAAAGCGCAAAGGAGGAGGTAAGGATTAAGAAAGAAGAGCAGAAGGACCAATCTACCCAGACGGACATAGAAAGAAGCACATATGGGAATTCTGGACAGGCTATGACGTCTGAGGGTGGAAGAGCAGAAGGCGACAGGCCCAAAAGGGGTGCATCAGCATCCCCGGAAGAGGCGAGTGATAGAAGGAAAAGGCCTAAAGAACCGGCTAGTGCACGTAGGGAGGAAAGAAGGCTAGTGAGTGCTCAGAAGGTAAGACATGACGAGAGAGAAGAGGAGGCCAACTGGAAGGTGGTGAAAGGACGCAAGAAGACCCAGGCGCCTAGATCAGATGTGGCAGAACAGAAGATGGGCGTGAACAAGCTGAGGAAAGAGCCGGTGGCTAAGCAGAGGTTAAAGCCTGAAAAACCGGAAGCCATCATCATTAGGACAAGAGATGGAGCTGAGAGATATGCAGATGTCCTTAAAAAGCTCAAGGGCAAAGTTAATCCGGAGGCTCACGGGATGGAAATCGGAGGAGTAAGGAGATCAGCACGAGGAGAGCTCTTGGTGGAATTGCGGAGAGGGAAGGGCACTGCGGCCAGATTAGGGCAAGTTGTCAGAGAGGCGCTAGGAGAGGAGGTTGTAGTGAATGAACTCTCGAAGAAGGTCGTGCTGGAGGTGAAGGATATTGATGAGGTCACAACGAGAGAGGAAGTGATTCAAGCAGTCAGGATGGTAACGGGTGAAGGTGCAATTGTGGATCTGTTGGGTTTAAGGAAAAGCTATAGTGACACCCAATCAGCACTGCTCCGTATGTCGGTGGGTGATGCCAATAAACTGTTGGCGACTGGCAGGCTCAAGCTTGGTTGGGTAAATTGTAGAGTGCGCCTTAAGGAGGAGGTGATAAGATGCTACAGGTGCTTCGGAGTGGGACATATTGCGGGAGTATGTCAGGGCCCTGACAGGACGGCAAACTGCAGGAAGTGTGGGAATCGAGGTCACAAGTTTAAGGAATGCCCAAACTCACCATGTTGTGTCATGTGTAAGGATGCTGGGGTGATAGAAGAGAATACGAAACACCTGATTGGTAGTGGTGTGTGCGTTGAAGCTAGGAGAAGAAATGTACAGCAAAAGGCACCCTAAAGGTTCTTCAGATTAACCTGGGGAGGGGTAGGGAGGCACAGGATCTGCTACGGCAAACAGTGATCGAGAAGGAAGTGGATATCATCATCATAAGTGAGCAGTATAGAGCCTGGGAATGGTGCTCATGGTACCAAGACAAGACGGGCAGAGCGGCGGTGGTGGTCCTCAACCGGAATCTTAAGGTAGGGCGCCTGGTGGAGTCGGAAAGTAACTTCGTAGGATTGGAGGTGAACGGCATCATGTTTGTCAGTTGCTACTTTTCTCCCAATGTCTCGAGGGCAGTATTCTATCGCGAGATAGCGGCTCTAGAAACTTTCCTAGAAAGAGAAAAGGATAGTAAGGTGGTGGCAGGTGATTTCAACGCCAAATCCACAGTCTGGGGGGCAGCCCAGACGGATAAAAGGGGGGAGGTGGTGGCAGATATGGCACTTAAAGAAGGTTTAGCCTTCCTCAACTGCGGGAACTCGTTCACTTTCCGAAGAGGTATAACTGGCTCTATAGTGGATATTACTATGGTGTCAGACGATCTGTTGGGCAGGACACAGGAGTGGAGGGTAGAAGAGGACATGACCCTCAGCGACCATCAGTACATAACGTTCACTGTACGAGACAGCTCTGAAACGCTGGGAGGAAAACTGAGAAAAAGCGTCACTCATTCCTGGGCGGTGAATAAATTACGAGTGGAAGACCTGAGAGCCTATGTCAAGGAAGTGAAAGCTCGGAGACTGGCGGAAGAAGTAGCAGACGATGGAAGTTGGGGTCCGACACAACTTATCGACTACCTGAAAAAGGCGTGTGATAAATGTATGCCCCGGAAGAAACCAGGGGGGGGGGAAGAGGCAGCCGGTCTACTGGTGGTCAGAGGAGGTAGCAGAGAAGAGAAGGCGTTGTCTCAAGGCGAGGAGGATAGCCCAGCGTATAAGACGGAAGGAGGGAAGGGCCGAGCAGCGTAGTGCAGAGAACGAAGAGTATAGGAAGGCCAGGAAAGACCTGAAGATGGAAATCAAGGCAGCTAAAAGGAAGTGCTGGGCAAGCTTTATTTGTGAGCTTGAGAAGGACCCGTGGGGAGTGCCCTACAAACTGGTCATGAAGAAACTGGTAAGGCAGCCGACGATACCTGGGCTGCTGAACCCTCAGCGTATGCACAATATTGTGGCAACACTGTTCCCAGAGCATCTTCCGAAGCAGGGGCTTGAAGACAGAAAGCAGCCGGTGGAGGTGGAAAGAATAACCTCGATGGAAGTGGAAGTAGCGGTCAAGAATCTTCCGAACAAGAAGGCGCCTGGGCCTGACGGAGTTCCGAACGAGGTCCTGAAGTTGGTTGGAGAGGAACACGCCGAGGTTATTGCAGAGGTGTTTAACAATTGCCTGGAGGCAGGAATTTTTCCGGCCGAATGGAAGAGGCAGAAGTTAGTGCTGTTGAGGAAGGGCACGGGTGACTTAGAGAATCCGTCATCCTACAGACCGTTGTGCCTGCTGGATAATATTGGTAAGTTCTTTGAGAGATTGATACTGCAGAGGCTTCAGGAGCACTTTGGCAGAGTCGGAGACCTGTCGTGTAGACAGTACGGGTTTCGGCGGGGGAGGTCAACAATTGATGCAATGGCCCATGTGCTAGATATTGTTGCGCCTAGACAAAGTGATGCTCGCAAGATCGTGGCAGTCAATGCTATCGTCACACTTGATGTTAAAAACGCATTTAACAGTGCAAGCTGGGAGAAGATAATGGAGGCGCTCAGATCCAAAGAGACACCATCATATTTGCTACGCATCATCGATAGTTACCTGGATGACAGAGTATTGTTGTATGAGACAGAGGAGGGGATAGTAGAGTATAGAGTTACGGCAGGCGTCCCTCAGGGATCAGTGTTGGGGCCGTTTCTTTGGAACTGCATGTATGATGGACTCCTTAACCTCAAACTACCAGAGGAGGTGACACTCATAGGATTCGCTGACGACGTTGTGCTAGTGGCGCATGGTCATAATACCACGGAGCTTGGACACAGGGTCCAGCTCGGTCTGGACGCGGTGAGCGAGTGGATGAGGATGAACGGACTGACGTTAGCAGCTCTTAAGACGGAGGCAGTGCTGGTGACGACGAAGCAGAAGCAGAAACCACCGACGGTGAGGGTTGGTGGATATCCTGTAGAGTGGAAAGGGAACTTAAAGTATCTGGGAGTGTTGTTTGATAGTAAGCTGCGTTACATTAATCAGGTGGGGAGAGCGATAGACAAGGCTCGGAAGACTGCAGCGGCTGTAAGTAGACTTATGCCGAACGTGGGTGGTGCCCGTCAATTCCGGAGGAGAGTATTGTATACGGCAGTTGAGGCTCAGTTGTTGTATGGTGTAGAAGTGTGGGGCGGGGGTGATGAGAATGAAACTTTACAGAAGTAAGTTTCTGTCAGTGCAGCGGCAGGTGGCACTTCGGACTATATGCGGATATAGAACAGTGTCTACAGCGGCATCCCTAGTGTTGGCTGGCATGGCGCCTATTGATCTTGTGGCGGAAGAAAGAATGGCATCATACGAGAAGACGAAGAACGTGGAGCCGGAGAACCGTAAGAAGGCTAGGGAAGAAGCGGCAAGAGAGGAGAGGGCAAAGCTCATGATAAAATGGCAGCAGCGGTGGGACGAGGAAGGAACAGGGAAATGGACGCACAGACTTATAAGAGAAGTTGAGCAATGGGTGAACAGGAGACATGGACAGCTTCAGTATCATTTGACGCAGCTGCTTAGTGGACATGGAGGGTTCAATATGTACCTTTATAAGATGAAAATCGCGAGTGATCATAGATGTAGTCTGTGTGAAGCGCCGGAGGACACTGCAGAGCATGCTGCTTTTGAGTGTGAAGGTTCGAAAGAGTTCCTAGAAACTCTAAAAGAGGAAACTGGTGAAGCGTGCATAAGTGTGGAAAACTTAGTGGAGGTAATGCTGAAGAGTGTGAAGAATTGGTGCGCAGTGGCGGCTTTTGCCACGAAGATAATGAAAAAACGTGAAGAGGATGAAAGGAGACGACGTACTGAAGAGAGAGCTGTACAAAGACGACGATGACAAGGATGAACAGTCTAGATGGACTTAAGCAGATCCTGAACCCCTAATCTCTTGATGAGGATGGGGGATGTAGGGAAATGTCTGCGGCGGACGTGTGTATCTGTAGGATGAAGGTGAGCGCCACTCTGACGTAATGCCCAACGGTAGTTCCGGAGTGGTGTCTCGTGTCTGTAGGGTCACTAGTAGAGGGCGTGCCCTCTCTACACCCTTTAAAAAAAAAAGACTTACAGTGTCGTCCTGATGCCGGGTTTGCTACATCCAGTTGAGAGATCAGGTAAATTAGAATTACTCTGCGCGGTTGATTGGTGCTGAGATTGTTAGGCTCAGGTAGTTGACCCAAATCGTCCTTGCAGCTCTCGATGTTTGAAGTGTGTGATTTTCTTCAGGATGCGTTGCTAACCGTACTTTAATTGGACTGAAGTTTTATTCGAGATGACAAATGATCCGTTATCCTCGTCGTCAAAATTTTTGTTGTATTAATAATTTTATTTTAATTATCAGTAAATTCTTTTTGTATTAATAATAGTTTTGTTTTAATAATTATATTGTTAATATTGGTAAATTATTAGGTTTTCCGACAATTGCAATAATATGCAATTTAAAATAAAAAAAAAATTGTCATGACCAGAATCGAACCCGGCTCAGCAGAATGGGAGTCTGGTGCTCTAACTACTAAGCTACCATGTATTCTCTATTGTTCTTTAGGCTTATTAATCATAAGTTGCAGGCTTGGGTACAGAGAAAAGGGATACAGCTTGTCGGCGAAGTGCCGGAACTCCCTGCAGATTGTTATTATTGTTTTTTATTATTCATAGTTATAATAACTATAAAATTAAATTAGCAATTATATGCAATCGTATTTACAAATATATTTTTATTGTTAAAATTGAAAAATTATTTTCCATTTTACTTATTTATTTTCTTAAATGACCACTTGCTTGTTTCCTGAAAATCATGAAAAAAATGATTTTTTATTTTTACGTCAAAAACGACGCACACCCCCACTTGCGCCCATACCCATCGACAGTCCGCCGACGACTGCTGATCTACTATTATCGGCGCATTGTTACGTGGACTGTTAGTGATATCACGTTGTTGGGGGACGTACTGAGACGGCGACATTATGCAATAACTAGAAAAAAAGTTCCCTACTTTAAGGCCGGGCTATACCTAAGAAAAGTTCCGAAGTTGACTTTACGCCCTCCCGTTGTGCGGTAGAAGGCCGAAGCTCGATTCCAATTGAAATTGAGTAGGTAACAGGAAAATCGATTGAGAAATAATAATTTTCAGGGATGCATTAGAAAAAGGGAGCCTTAACGCACCAGGAAATTTACAAATTTCAGAATAATCTGTTCTGAGCAAGACAGAGCACAGAATATATCTATCAAGCAAGCACAGCCCCCACCCTTTGTTACTAAGCCTGAAGCTTATGATATCTAAACGTAAACAGAGCAAATGAATATATGCTGGCTCTGTAGTCAGAAAGTTCGACATTTATTTTACCGAACGGTGTTCGATTCCAATTACGGCAAAATTTTTTTTGATTTTAATTGCCAAAATCAGTTTCAAATGTCAATTTTTGTGTAAAATTATTTTTCAATTAATCGATGACAAGTGAGAAAATATTTGACCAAGACCATGTACCTTTTTTTGTACAAATCCATTGATAATAGGCTTTTCTTAACAACTTATTAACAATAAAAAATAGTTTAAACAATCCGCGGCGAGTTCCGGCACTTCGCCGGCAAGCTCTACCCCCACTTTCTGTGCCCAAGCCTGCAGCTTATAATTTACAAGCATAAATCCAAAGATTGTAACCATAATAGCTCGGTGGTTAGAGCATCGGTCTTTTATTCTGCTGGGCAGGGTTCGATTCCAGTCATGGAATGGTTTTTTCTTTCTTTTTTATTTGTTAGATTTGGATGTAATTATAATATTAACATGCCAAAATGAATTCTTTATGACGATTTGATTTTTTGAAAAATTATTTATGTAATTTATCGACGCCGAGTCGAAAAACCTTTGAAAAGGATTATAAAATTTTTTTAAATACAGTTACAGAATGTAACTTATTTTTAAACAATTTAAAAATACAGTGGAAGCTCGTTAGTGTCGACACGTCTGTCCAGGATCATTCGTTAGTGTTGTCGTTCCCCTATATCCCTACTTCTCGTGAACCTATTCTCCTCATTGCGCATAAGAATGTGCAGAAAATAAAAATAGAGCAAGAATACATACGTGTGATACATAACCTGTATTTAACATATATGTTAACTATAGTGTTAATTGAATTTAAAATACGCGCTACTCACGCAAGATTCCATTGGTTATTAGAGAGAGCGGAGTGGAGCGAAAGACGAGCAACACTAGCGAAATCATCCTGTCAACACTAACGAGAGTGTAACACTAACGAGAGCAACACTAACGAGCTTCGACTATATTCAGAAATAGTTGAAACAGTCCGCGGGGAGTTCTGGCACTCCGCCGGCAAGCTCTATCCCCACCCTTCGTACCTAAGCCTGCATATACAACTTATAAACATAAATATAATGTCACAGATGATGGGTTTGCTTTGTAGTTAGAACACCAGGCGTTCATTTTACCGATTAGGGTTCGATCCCAGTCATAGCCAATTTTTTTTTATTAAAATATTACATGCATGCAATAATTACTAGTTGTTTATATTAGTTCAAAATCAATTCCTATTGTCTTTTAAAGACAAAATTTTCTAAAAAAGAGAATTCATAGTAACTCGTTCCTCACCCTCAGCTTATTTTCAGAAAAACGAGTTTTTTTTCGTAATTAATTGGAAGAATAATTTCATAAAATATATAAATTTATACATATAAATTTACTTAACGAAAAAAAGGAAAAAAAAATTTTGCTATCACTAAGATCGAA